TTAAAGATAACAGCCGAAATTTGCCACCAAACCGTCAACGTCCTCGACTTAACTTTCAATTTACACGAGCAGAGTTACAAGCCTTACCGGAAACCTAATAATGACCCCCTTTTCATCAACAGTCGTTCGAATCATCCACCATCAATCATAAAACAAATCCCGCTATCAGTGAACAAACGTATTTCGCAATTATCATCCGACCAAAATGCCTTTTCAGCCGCTGCACCCATGTATGAAAGCGCATTGAACCACAGCAACTATCATGCGAACTTGCATTATACCCCAAGCAACAACGGTAGTGGTAATAAACGAAGACAACGAAACATAATTTGGTTCAATCCACCGTTCAGCAAGAACGTAAGAACAAACGTGGGCATGATCTTCCTCAATTTAATTGACAAACATTTCCCACCCTCCAATTGTCTTCATAAGATTTTTAATCGTAACTCGGTGAAAGTCAGTTACAGCTGCATGGATAATTGCAAGAGTATAATTTCTAAGCATAACACCAGAATACTATCAAGACCGAAATCGACAACCCAAACATCATCATCAACATACAGCGCCACATGCAATTGTAATAATAGCAACGAATGTCCTCTTCAAAAGAAATGCCTATTAGACTGCCTAGTTTATAAAGCAGAGGTGGTAACCAACAATTCGGAACCTAAAGAATACATTGGCATGACGGGAAACACCTTTAAGACACGGTTATATAACCACAATAAATCTTTCAATAATGTTATATACAGGAACAATACGGAGCTCTCAAAATACGTGTGGAACTTAAAGGAAAACCAGCAGGACTTCACGATTAATTGGTCTATCCTAAAACGAGCAGCCTCGTATTCCAGCGGTGGAAAGAGATGCAACCTTTGCCTCCAAGAGAAACTTTGCATTCTAAAAGCGGATAAGTCAAACTTGCTAAATAGAAGACGCGAGTTGTTCTCGAAGTGCGTTCACCAAAAACGATTCTTGGCCGAAAAGTTTGAACGTGCGCAAGCTCAATCACGCACGCAAACTCAGTCACGCAAGCAGCACAACGGATATCCACGTCACCAAGCAGGAAAAGTTAGTTGAACATACATCGTCGCCTGAAGATCGTGAAAACGTGAAACTCAGAGTTGCGACTTAATTAATTTTAAGTAGAAAAGACAACAATTATAAAGCTCTACTAATATTGGTGTTGAGCACTCTTTAAACTACTCAGTGCGTTCATACTTTTGTTTGAATCAACGATTATTATCGATATATATATATATATATATATATATATATATATATATATATATATATATATATATATATATATATATGGGGAGCTGTTTACACCTGGGCCATAACGTCTCGTGAACGAAGCACGAACTGATCCAGAAACGTAGCTAAAACAATCACAATCAGATGCATGGATATCCGATATTCGTAGAACCGACCTGATATAAATAAAAATCCATAAATCAATGTATTTCCCCTGCATTTTTCGATCAATATCGCTTCATTTGCCAAGTTTTTTTTATATATATTTGAGCAGGTTTATTGTACAGTGATTAAACAAAAAACTGAAGTTATATCAAATAAACTCGGCTCGAAAACAAATTCAAAGTGGGCAATAAACTTTTCCCAAGCGTACCTTTCTAAAAGGGTTCTATTTTCATAATTTTGCTCACCTTGTGTGACCTATAATGTGAAAAAAAATCAGGAAGTAAATAATCTCGTAAGGCACAAAGTTAGGCAAGGCACAAAATTAGGCCCGTTATTATTTGTAATAATGGTTAACGACTTAGTTAAAAATTGGCCAGGAAGAGCAAAGTTTGTTGACGATTTAGTCGTAGTAGAAACAATCCCGCGGAACTCAATAAGTGTGATGGATTTGGTAGCAAGAGAAATTCAACAGTATTGCATGGACCATAAAATGAAGTTGAACCCCAAGAAATGCAAGGAGATGTTTGTAAATTTTATGACAAACCCGAATATATTAAGTAGGGATTTAGTCGTTAATTAACGGTACCCAAATAGAATCCGTTGATGCGTACAAATTGTTAGGTGTTATGCTCGGAAGTAATCTTAAATGGAATACGCAGGTTGACGACAAAACAAGAAAGGCGTGTAAAAGGTTGTATGCATTAAGAGTACTAAAGAAGACTGGATTGCAGGAAAGGGAACTTGTTCTAGTGTATAAGTCGATGATTCGAACTATTCTAGAATATGCTGTTGAAGCCTGGTCTGACTTCCCACAGTATCTAAGTGACAAGTTGGAAAGAGTACAGAAAAGAGCTCTCTGGATTATATATCCTGGTAGTGACTATGGCGAAGCATTAAAGATCTCTAAATTGGAAAGTCTTAAAGACAGGAGAGTAGACTTATGTAAGAAGTATATAAATAAACTTAAAGATCCGTCCCATACTCTACATCATTTAACAAAAACATACTATACGAATACACACGGTTATAACCTAAGATAAGGAAATCAGAACCAAATAGGTGTAAGAAAGATCCGGACTGATAGATGCAAAAAATTTTTAACATATAGCCATAAATAGTAAACAAAAATTTCTATTTTATAATATCTGTTCCTTATATAGTATATTTATATAATTTTATGGCTTTGTAAATATTTTTTTGTTAATATAAACTTGTAAATCGCTTACAATTTAATCCTGTAATTACAAGAAGCGAAATAAACGAGAGATATATATAAAGAGATATGAATCCAAAAGTGATCTTGAATACCTAAATTACTCTAAACAGAAATTTTAGTAATATATCTACTCCAACCCGGCAATATGGCATTAAATTATATTATATAAATTATATTATATATATATATATATATATATATATATATATATATATATATATATAACTATATTATAAAACTTGCTGTGAATCCTCTTCGGATCCTTCGCTCTCGAGGAGACTTCGTTTGGCATTGCCATACCTAATATCAAAGCTTACATATATATATATATATATATATATATATATATATATATATATATATATATATATATATATATATATATATATATATATACCCCC